AAAAAAAAAACGAAACAAAAAAAAGCGAATTGACAAAAGTACGTGGATCTAGTCCACCCTTTTCTCGACATTTATTTAACGGACTTTTTTTTCCCGGTCGTTTTCCCGGTACCAGCCCGTGCTGTCCCAGTCAGTAATAAGCCATCGCAGTATGGCCCGGAGACAGGGGCTCTCGTCTGCTGCCTGTATTGTGTCTACGTCTGCTCTTGTCGTGAGCGCGGGTGGGTTACCTGTGTTGCCTGTGGCGGATTAGTTCGGTCATGCATTGGAAAAAGTAAGTCCTTCTTTTTTGGTGAAAAAAGTAAGTCCTTTTTGTGTATGGAAAAGTAATTCTTTCTTTTTTTTTTGTTTGGAAAAGTAAGTCCTTTCTTTTTTTTGTGTGGAAAAGTAAGTCCTTCTTTTTGCGGAAAAGTAAGTACTTTTGTGTTGTTGTAAGATGAGTTCTTCTTTTTTTGTGAATAAGTAAGTCCTTCTTTTTCGTGGAAAAGTGAGTCCTTCCTATTTGTGCAAAAATGAGTCCTTCCTTTTGTGGAAAAGTAAGTACTTTTGTTTTGTGGTAAACTGAGTTTTTTGTTGTTGAAAAGTAAGTCCCCCTTTTTTCGTGGAAAAGTAAGTACTTCTTTTTTGTGGAAAAGTAAGTTCTTTTGTTTTGTGGTAAAATGAGTCCTTCTGTTTTGTGGAAAAGTAAGTCCTTTGTTGTGAAAAAGTAAATCCTTTTGTTTTGTGCAAAAAAAAGAGTCCTTTTTTATGGAAAAGTCCTTCTGGGGTTTTTAAAATGTAAAAACCTTCTTTATGTGTAAAAATAAGGACCCAAAAATGAATCCTTCTTTTTTGTGAAGAAGTAAGTCATTCTTTGTTGTTGCTAGCAATATTATGGTATCAATATGACGTTTTGGAAGTGTATTGTGGGGATTGTTTTCTTTCTTTCATTTAGGGCTAGAGGTTGTTGTTTTTTGAAAAATCCCTTTACTTAAATACTTAAGATGTACAGTGTTTGCTGTGCCTTGTGGGCCTGGGTATTTTTTAAAATCAATCATCTGTGAGGGGAAAATAAAAAGATGTGTGGGTTGTTGGAGGGCGCTACTGGTGAAGTCCTATTTCTTTACCTTCCCTCCGTTGTTTCTGACTGTCCGTCTTACTCCTCCACCCCCACCCCA